TTTTTTGAGTTGTTGCTCAAATTGTGTTTGGTTTTGATAATCTATTTCGTAATTACTCATCAAAATATTTTATTCTTAGATCTTATAAGTAATAATAGATCTCTTGACAAGTAGTTATTTTGCTAATTTCTTCAAGTAATAGTTGTATTATGGTATTATTAGAATCTAATTGTAAGTGGGTTTTTGCTTGTTCTATTTGATCTTGTAGATCTTTTAATTCTGAAGTTGTTACTTCATTTTGTCTTCTTAGATTTGTTGGTATTACTGCTTCTTTTCTGTTAGGAGTATAGGTTAAAACTTTTTCTAATCTTTTATTTAAGTTGATAAAAGTTTTGTTTTCAAGATATTCTTTGAGTTTACTAATGATTTCTTTTATCCAAGTTCTTGTTTTGATTGCTTCTTGAGTTCTTTGAAGGCTTTGTTGTTCTTTTATGAGCCTGGTCTTTTGGTGACTTATTTTCAGGGTTCTTTTATACTTTCAGGGTTCTTAATCACTGTCTTTGCTTTTGTTTACTTTTGGTTACACTCATGTTTCCTTAAATGTCTTATCAGTTGCAAATATTTTGTGATCAGGTGTCCTTTCTACTCCTGCGAATACTCATGCTTCGATAACAAGTTTTCTGTAGTTGTATTTGTTTCTTCTCATTTTGGTTTCATCATTTTCTACAATAATATCATTTCTGCCTAATTTTTTTTTATGTTCCTGTACGTGGAAACCTACTAAGTTTCTGATATTACTTATATAGTAGCTGATTGTGCTTGGGTCTTTTTCTATAGTTATCGCGATTGATGTACTTGGCATTTTTAATAACCAATAATAGTATATTTCTAATATCTCATTGACCCATATCTTATCTTTTGAGAACCATGAGTTTGTAAATATTAATTGCATTTTTCTGCAATTTCTCTTGCCACAAATAAACATCTTGTAGTTATCTTGTTTCATTAGATTTTCACACTTTGGGCAGTTTAAGTCTTGATTGATGATTTTGTTTGTTTGAAGATATTGGATACATTCAGATTCTTCTTCCAAGATATTCTTGATTTCGTATCTTGTCAAGATTCCTTTATTTTTCATTTCTCATTTTCTTCTATTTTATTTTCAAAGTAATTTTTTATTTAACTGCTTGCTTTTAGTTCATTTTTCTTCAATATTTATTTTAACGCCTTTTTATACTTATTTTCCTTAGTATATCTTTATTCAGCAATTACTCTTTTTGTTCAATTACTTTTGTTTTTTATCTTTTTTATTTGATAATTATGGCTTTTTCTCCTGAAATTGTTTTTGAATTGGATTTTCTTGAATATAATCATTTTATTATTCATGCTTTGCATCAGACTATTTTTGTTTCTTTTTTTTTGAGCATATTTCTTTATGAGAAGGCTTTTACTTCTGATTTAGAATATGTTGATCCTTCTTTTGGTCAAAAGATTACTATTCTTCATTCTGAATGTCTCAAGCATTTTATTGAGATTATTATTAATGATCACCTCGAGTTCGAGTCTAATAAAGAAATTAATGATTTGAAGTGGTTTATCTATTAGAATTCTTCCTTTAAGGATCATTCCTTTTAAGAGTTTATTGATCATTATATCAATCCTGGTGAAGAGATTTCTCTTTGCCAATTCCTTAATAATTATGCTGTCATTTTTGATAATGATGCTTCTGCAGCTTATATTTGGAATTCTAATACTTATATTATTTCTTCTGATAATAGTCAGAATCTAAATATTCGCTTTGATATTTATCTTGAGCCTAACTATTTAGAGGTATCTCTTTATAATACATTTTCATTTTTTGATAATTCCGGTAAGGGTATTATTATTGGTTTATCATCCAACCGTAGTAAGTTAGATAAAGAATTATCTAACTTGCTGTGGTTGTATGTTGGACAAATTCTAATCACTTACTTATTAATAGACCTTGTTACTGAATGCGAAGAAATTTCTTATGATTATTGGGATGGCTTTAATCTTTTCCAATATTTCTTCTCTAAGGACTATATTACTGAAAATGAAGTTTTGCTTCTTAATAATGCCAATTCTGAAGTTGGTTCTCATCAAAATCCTATTTGTATTTCTGATGCTTCCGATATCGAAAAAGAGGAGAATAATGATAGTAATCTTTACTTGGATTCTTCTACTCCGTTTAGGAGTACCAGTGACCATCTTGATAGTACTTATATTTCTCCTTTAACTGGAAAATCTCTTTCTTTCTATAATTGTAAATTATGTAACCATTATGTTTATGATTGTATAGATTACGAATCTTATGATTCTGATTATTATCCTTGTTCAGATTAGTTTTCTTCTTCTTGTATCATTTCAGTAATTAGTTCTTTTAAGGATTTATTTTCTTTATTATTTATTATTCTCGATAATAAATCAGCTGCTTTGTTTTTGGCTCCTTCTATTCAATATATTATATATTTGAATTCTTGTAAATTCATTATCCAACTTTCCATTGTTCTACTGGTTATTGATGTTCATTTTGCCGCTGATATTCCTGTTGCATCAGTGTATATGTGTATTTCTTGACTTCCAATATAATGTCGCCATTGTTGTAAGAATTTGTATATCGCATACATTTCTCTTTGTGTTGCTACACAACATTTTGAACCCTTGTAAAGGGACATGTTCCGGATCCTGGTAATTACTAATTTAGAAGTTTTACTTTACTAAATAATGTTTTATATTAAATACGGAGCAAAAGAGAACTATATTCGTGTTTTAAATGATTCAATTCCTTCCTAATGAATTGTAAATTCAAATTTTAGCGGATGTTAACAAATTAGTTTATATGATTGAATAGAATATTTTCGTAGAAATTTACTAATTTTAATGATCCTAAAAATGGGATCAAATTTTTTTGCACTCTTTGACTGTTTGCAAAAAATGGAATGTATTCGTTCATTTAATAATGCACAAAGTCGCTTTTTCCAGATTAAACACTGGTTTAAAACTTGAGGTAAATAAACTTTTTAGTATCAAATAATTATAATAAATTTAATCAATAATAATTGGCTTTGACTTAATTAAATAAATGGAAAGAAACAAAGAAGCCAAAGAATTCCGCCAACATAAAATTGTCAAACTACTGTAAGACTATTTAATAATGCCAATTATGGTAGTAAATCTTATATATGCATAGTCATATAGATAAACCTTACTTTATTATAGAACATTTGGTGATAAAATAGAAATAAGATTGATTTTGTAACATTTGTAGAAAATACCGAGAATTTATTTATTCTAATTAAACTTGGAGCTAAATTTGGAGTTTAACATGACCTGATCCATAGACAGCGATATCTTAAACATGAATTCAATCATCAAAATAGCGTATGCTTCAAACTGGTGATTGAAGATAAAAACAATAGTTATGTGAAGTTTTGTAGTTTTACCATTGCAGCTTGGAAACTTTATTATATTCTGGACAGTATTCAAGTTATTTGGTATGCTTTTACATATGTATGTATATGAATTTATTTAGACTTTAACTTTGCAACAACATTTCTTTTAATTTTACAATATAGTAAATTTATGAAATTAAGGAAAGGATTTCAATATTTTATGAAAATCACTACTTTAGGAAACGTCCATGTTATTCAAATTAGCAACGTGAAAATATTTTTTATATAGTTACTTTTGTAATACAAATATACAAATGATATTTATATTCTAAGAGAATCTTCAAATAGAACTTTAAATCAAAACTATACCTTATTTTCTTTAATGTACACATCTGTCTTTTCTAAGTCGTTTTATTTTTATTGTAGCAAAGTAAATGTACTAGTTAGTTATAAAGTTTCGTTATTGAATAAGCCTAAACTATAAATTATTTATCAAATTACAAGAAATCTATTATTAATTTAATTAAAAATAGCTCCGTTTTTGCAATTGTGTTTTGATAAAATGAGATAATAAAGCACCGATTTTTTATAGTTTAAGGGAAAATTTAATAAACATATTCAGGTCTCATTCCAGATAGGTTGAAATTTATGTAATATAAAACAAAAACTTCAATAGATTGTTTCAGAAAATTTAATTTTCAGGATTTAGAGATTTATTTTTTTGGAAATATCGCGAAACATAAAAACTGGTAAGTTGATTGACAGCTATGAAAATAACAAAGATGATACAACAAGATAGACAAAAGCCTGCCACCTTTTAGGGACAACGTAAGCTAGTCCAGTAAAGCCACCAATGATAATAATAACGATTATTATAGAAGTATGTAAAAATAATATTATATACAGTTTAGTTCATAAATATTTAAACTAACAGCTAATGAAAGGTGTTATATGATAAAATTAAAATTTTATAAGTCTTTAAGAACTGCCAATAAAAACGATAGGTACATGCAAGTCATATTTTCAAAATCTTTAAAAAATATCATAACTTGATAATTAATTATGCATCTTGAATACTTAAATTTCTATAATTGTATATTTTTTAGAAAAAAATTCAAATTTGTTTAAAAAAAATTATTAAAGTTTAAAAATATTATCAAAGTAAGATTTTGTCAAAATTGTATGATAACTTTACTGAAATGAAAGTATTTACAGTTTGTCTTCATAAATATATTGTAAAATTTTTGACTTGCAGACAATAAAGTTTGCTGAAAGCGTTTTTACATATTATAATAATTCAAAGTCAACTATAATTCTAATCTGAATTTTTTTTAAAAAAAAATATGTAAGTCTAGTTTTAAGCACTTTAAGCATTGGTATTATATATTTTGTTCATATTAATCGCAATATATTGTCTGTATAACACACAACAAATAGTATAATTAGACAATTATCTGTTGTAGCTTTTGACATGTTATCATACATTCAAGTTAAAAAACGTATTTTCTATAACCTATATAGTTATTTTTATTCTTATTATATGTCTATTGCAAAGGTTTTTATAAAAATATCTGTTATAATATTTATTTATGTAATATTATTTATATATCTTCTTCATTTTCTTACAGTATATTCTTCTAAATATAATCAATCCTTTGCAATATTTTTGACTACAATTTGTGTACAAAAGTTGTTAACTAAGCAGCCTATTTGTAACAAATTTTCTATAACATAATAAAGACAACAATCTTTTAGACACAATTCGCTCCTTTTAAAAACTTCTACCGAATCTTTAGTTTGTTTTAACACATAATTAAGTTTCTTCAAAAAATCTATAGTAAACGACAAATTTAAATAATAATAATTTTGATAAAAATATTAATAGTGAAAATGTACCTAGTATTTTTTGAATAGAAATCGAACCCAAAAGCTTTAATCTCTTTGCTGCATATCCAAATTCAACAATTAAATCATATACTGATTTTAATCCAATTATAAGAAGAAAGTTTGATTCTATTTCTTCATTTTTTTCACGTATTTTCTGAAATAAATAAGTATAAATATAGTATAATTACAAAAAAAATATATTTACTACTTACTTTTTCATAATCTGTAAAGTGAATTCTATTTAATTTCTTTTCATATTCATTGATCTTTTCTGATTCACTCCACAATTTTTTTC